TCTTCTCCATCAGGACCATTGACTCCACCAACATATTAGTCCACCTATATGTCGATGAAATTGTTCGACTTTATCGCATTTCCTCATCTATTATATCCGATCGAGATCCTCAATTCACCTCTCACTTTTGGGACAACTTCCAAGAAGTGCTTGGGTCTAGATTGTACTTCAGCACTGCTTATCATTCCTAAACTGATGGTCAGTCTGAATGCACTATCCAGACGTTAGAAGACATGTTACGTGTTTGTATCCTCGATTTTAGTGATAACTTGTATGAGTATCTTTTCCTATGTGAAGTTACTTATAATAACAGTTATTATTCCAGCATAAACATGGCTCCGTATGAAGCCCTGTACGGTAGGCCCTACCATTCTCCCACTTGCTGGAGCAAAGTTAGAAATCAGCATCATTTAAGACCATACTTCATCTAGGAGACTATTGAGAAAGTTGCGATCATTCATAGGAACTTAGCTATCGCCCAGAGTCACTAGACGAGTTATACTAATAATCGTAGAAGACCTCTGGAATTCACCGTTGGTGACCAAGCCTTCCTCAAGATTTTTTCCTTACAAGGAAAAAATACAGTTCAGGAAAAGAGAGAAGTTGAGCCCCCGTTATGTGGGACCTTTTTGGATCGTAGAGTGTATTGGACCCGTGGCATACCACCTTATTCTACCTCAAGAGTTTGCAGGTCTACATGATATTTTCTACATTTTCATACTTAAAAGTACCACCCTCACCCTTCTCATATTATTTCTCACGATGAGATACAGATACAAGTCAATATGACTTAAGAGGAACTCCTCGCAAAAAATTTTAATCGGACGAACAAAGTCTTACGCAACAAGAGGATCCCCATGGTGAAGGTGCAATGGCAGCACCACACTCCGGAAGAGGCAACATGGGAGTTGGAGAACGAGATGAGAGAGAAGTTCCCAAATTTATTCGAAGCAAATTTGGGGGACAAAATTTTTTAAGATGGGGGGGGATGTAACACCCCGCTCATCATCACGCTAAATTTCTATCTAAAAATCCCTATTTATTCGGGCCTTAAGGCCACTTGAACTTATTTAAATTTATCTCGTAGTTTTATATCTATTTCGTAATTTAAATTCGTGATTTTAAATTTTATTCTGATTTTGTTACTTTATTTTATTTTATCTATTATTATATATTTTATTTTGTATATTTTATAAATAACTTTTAAAAAAAAGACGAGAAAAGGGGGATCCCGTGAGAAATGCCGCAGAAAGACCGCCGCTATGCACATGC